AAGAAAGAAATATGGTCCGTTTGGTTGGGTTTTTTAATTGTTTGTTCGGAAGTTGGAATTTGCATTGGCATTGGTATTGGCATTGGCATCGGCATTGGCATCGATATTGGCATTGGCATTGGAATCTTGCATTGGCACTGGCACTGACATTGTAATCTTGCACTGGCATTGGCATGGAAGTCTTGCACTGGCATTGGAATCTTGCACTGGCACTGGCATTGAAATCTTGCACTTGCACCGATGAAATTTCGTATTGAAATTGGCATCGGAAGTTAGCATAACAAAGCTTGCATCCACATCGTATGTTGGCAAACTCATGTCGTATACCGCCATGAGTTTGACGGGGGGTGTTGGAATTTATTAGGTTTATTTAGGAAATTAATTAGAGATTTGATTTGATTTTGTAGTAGGGTATTTTTGGCATTTACGGATTAGGGTTTCTTAGGTTTATTGCTCTATAAATAGAGCTTGTAATTTAGTTTGAGAGTAAGTTAGTCACAATGTAATCTCTTAGGGTTTTGTAGCCGTTTCGGCATTCTTAGTTTGTTTAATAATATTCTTATTATTTGTTAGTTTTGTTCGTTGCGCACTATGATATTCAACTCTCACTACCCTACTTATTATTATTGGATGAATTAAAATTTTAAGATTCATGTCAATCAACTACACGAATTTCAAAATTTAAACTTATTTAATAGTAATAAGCAGGATAGTGAGTATCACCATTACTTAAAAGTGGAAAAATATCACAAAAGAGGAACCATGTTTAAGTGGAGAAGTGGGATTGCTAAATATAAAGATGGCTATTTAATCATTGTAAGTATCATCGTCACTTAAAAGTTGTAAGAAAAAATATCGCAAAAAGGAACCATGTTTAAGTTGGGAAGTGAGATTGCTAAATATAAAGATGGCTATTTAATCATGGTGGTTTTTAATGGGACACCCCATCGGTCAGATCACTTGGTGACTTGGTGACTTGCTGCCACTTTACCCACAAAATTGCCCATTCGTTTCTATCCTAATCCAATGACTGTTGTCACTTTCATTGGATACACATAATCTTCCTTTCAGACTATTTAACTTGTGGATTTTACTATGGCTTCACATATGGACCCAAGCATGACGCAAAATTCTAAAGCAGGATGAAACCAAATCGCACAAGAAACAGAAAATTCGTCACAGCAAACTGCAAAAAAGAGATGCTAGCTAATCTCATATTCTTGTAAAAAATTTACTTCCAAAGTACTGTAATATGTTTTCATGTTTGTGATTCCATAAATTGATCAATTTTCTATTAAAAAAAATACAAAATGATGAATTTTGTTTTCACTGCACTTTGATCACTATTTTTATTGGGGTGTGCTATCCACACACCCTATTTTGCTTCTCACACACCCATTGATAATTTATGTCTATTGATCTTCTTCAATTCATCTGATCCGATGGTCAAAAATTAAAAAAGTGTGTGAGAAGTAAAATAGAGTGTGTGGATATCACACCCATTTTTATTTTATTTTTTCAGATATAAAAATAATGAGTGTTTTCTTCAGTTTTATAAAAGGAAAACTAATGAAAATAGCTTGAAAATTTTGAGTTTTAATGAAAATGACAAAATAAAGGGTAAAGTGAATAGTACCATGATTGATTTTTTTAGTGTAAAAATGTGGTTTTTTGTTAAAGTAAATAATACTAGAAGCTTTTCATTAAAGTTCCCTTTTATAAATTGTATGTTTTTGCACTATTTTCTCTATAAAAAAAAATGGTTCGTTAAATGAGTGTTTTCTTCCCATAAAAAAATATTATGGGTTATTTTGGTTCAGTTTCATAAATAGTATATAATTTTCTGATGGTTCCAGCATTAATCTGTGTTATTTTTTGTTCAAATTCAGAATTAGTGTGAGTTATTTTGTTGTAGTTTCAGAAATAGTGTTTGTTTTGTTCCTTTCCATGAATAGTGAGGCTTATTTTGGTTAAATTTTAGAAATTATGTGAGTTATTTTGTTGTAATTCTAGAAATAGTGTGCGTTTTTTTATGCAGTTTCATAAATAATGTGAGTTATTTTGATGTAGTTTATAAATAATGTGGATTATTTTGTTTCAATTTTCATAAATAGTGAGTAATTTTGCTGTAGTTTCAGAAATACTATGAGTTATCTTGGTTCACTTTTAGAAATATTGTTGGTTATTTTGTTGTGGTTTTAGAAATAATGTTTATTTTGTTACATTTTAGAAATAGTGTGGGTTATGTTGGTGAAATTTTAGAAATAATGTAAGTTATTTTGTTGTAGTTCCAAAAATAGTGTGAGTTATTTTTGTGTAGTTTAAGAAATAATGTGAGTTATTTGCTGTAGTTTCAAAAATAGTGTGAGTTATTTTCGTTGAGTTTTAGACATATGTTTCTTTTTTAAATGGACTAAGATTATCTTCCCTCATCTTTTCATCTCCTTTCATCCACTCATTTCACATTCTCTATTTTGTCTTTTTCTTTCTATAAAAAATTAATATAAGATGTTAACGTAACTTAACCATATCCGTTCAAATAGGAGGGGAGGGAAGGGGAGGGAAAAAAAGATGGGAGAGAATCTTACTCCTTGTTCAAGTTGCCGACCTCCTCGTCTTTCACCTAGAGAGATTTTTTAGTGCGATCGGCACATGAGGTGGTACAACATGTGTCACTATACAACTGATGAGATATGTGAGTTAAAAAGTTAATAACGTAAAAAATAAAATTTTTCACCACTTACATAAAAACATATGGTGTACCACTCTTATTTCCGTCACAATAAAAAAAATTTCTCGTTCGCCTGCCGTCAAAATAAGGCAGCTCCAGCCGCCCGCCCTTATACATATATGATTTCTTGTGCTCCCGCCCTTATTAATTCAGAAATTAAATTAGTAAACTTTTAATCCTACTTCATGTTTTTCCATTCCAATTTCTAAAGAAAATTTCCAAAATTAGAAGAAATAAAATCAGAGAAAGATCATATTTTTCTGGAATTCAATAAATTATCTTCTTCTTTTTTCCACAAGCAAACAGAAAATTCATACATTCTAAAAAATAAAGCACCAAAAAACCCCAAAAAATTGTGAACTTAGGCCCTGTTTGGCACACCGTATAGGGCACCGGATAGTACTAATAATACGGTGTACGGTGTTTGGTGCCGTTTGGATTAAATAGGCACCGGATTAAATAATCCGGGCCCACGTTTTTTATCCGGCATTTACCCGACTGCTTATACCGTCCAAATTCACGGTATAATTTAGTCGGCCTCGCTCTCCTTCTTCTCCGCTCGCTCTCCGCTCGAACTCGACCCCCTCTCTCTCGCCCTTTCTCTCGCCTTTTCGAACTCGACCAACTCTGCCATTTTCAGCTCTGCCGTACCAAAGTGGCAGATTTTGGCGCCGAGCACGAGGTGGTCCTACTCGGAGACGATGATGCTGGAGCTCTTGATGTGGTTGTGGACGAATGTAGAGTCGAGGCCGGAGCAATGGTGGATGTAATCGAGGCTGTGGGCGAGGTCGGTAGCGATCTACATTCGGGAAAGCCACAACGACATGACGGTGTAGCTCGGGTTCTTCGGGTTACGGGACTTGGCTGGAAGACGACGGCGTCTTCGGAGCGGATGGAGCAGCGCCAGGAGAAGGAGAGGCGATGGTGAGGGAGGAAGTTGGAGGTCGCGGAGCGGATCTCAGTGAGGTCGTAGATTTGGGGGTTTTGAGGGAGGGAGGATTTAAAGGATTTGAGGGAGGCGACGGAGGAAAAGGTGGAGGATTTGGAGAAGTTGTAGCTGGAGTTGTCGATGGTGGTGCTGAAAATGGCGGAGCAGACGAAGAAGAAGAATGGAGAGAGGGAGGGATTTGGGGGTTGCGGCAGAGAGATCTGGGAAAAGAGATGATTTCTGTTTATTTTTTTTATTTTTTTTTATTTGAAGTTTGATTCTCCTATCCGATATAATACCAAACACAGTATAAATAATACGGTCAATAGTCCGATACTGCACCAAATGCCCGACTAATTTAGTCAGTACTATCCGGTGACTATTTATCCTATCCGAAAAAAATAGTCAATACAGTCCGACCTGCCAAACGAGGCCTTACTGCCATTTTTCTATCCAATAGATTTAGAAAAAACCCAAGAAATTAAAGTCAAAGTAGAATCTCCTGGACCAAAACCCACCACAAATAAGGCAACCCCAAAACCTCCTCCAGAAACCATTCAACGAACCACCTAGAAAGAGGAATTATTTTAGAGAGAGAGAGAGAGGGAAAGGAAAGAGTTCTAGAGGGTTTTTATCAACCATTGGCGGTACCTGTCATGTTTCACCTTTCTCGTCTCCACCTCCATCATCAATTCGACTGAAGAAATGTAATAATAAAAACAAAAATACAAAAAAAAAGAGCAAAAATTCGAAAAAAAAGAAGATGATAAATGAATGATTTAACATGACGAGCTTGAAGGGCTCCGTCTCCGGAGCCGCCGTGGCGAGGCCGTGGAATCTGAGGATGAGGAGGGCAGGGTGCAAGGCTCCAATCGGCGACGGCGGAGACAGTGTTGGATGAACGATGACAACAAGAACAATTTCCGAGTGGGGTCCACTTTATTTTAATTTAGATTTATTTTTAAATTAATTTTTAAATAATATTCAATTATTTTTATTTGACACGTCATAAAAAAGTGGGCCATATATTTACCACGTCACCACTTTAAACAGTCAATTTATCAGATTAAGTAATGGTTGTTTGAAATTGAAATGAAATAGTAGTAAATGTATGAGATTAAAATATTTTAAAGATGCTATATGAGATTGCAATTGACCTCAAACCTGAGGAGGTAAATTATAATTTACCCAATAAACTAACAAAAAGATTAAAAATCGTAGTAAACGTTAAGGGTAAAATTGGAAACACATTAGATTATTTCAGTTGGGCCATGTTGATTGTACTAGTTAAGTATTGAACTTTGTCCTAACCATTAAATAAACTCTTTACACGGGTTTTGGTTAAAATCCAAAGTTTTAAACCCTTATCATTAATTTTCGTTATGAATATACTAAAGCCATACCATGTTACAACTCACATAATGTGAAAAATTACACTACATCTTCCTGGTATATATCTAATTCTGATCAAAGCAGTTTGATTCGATTTGATTGAGTTTTATTTGCACACATACATAGCCATATATAATGATTGGTTGAACCTAACTACACATGATCACTATCATACGGCTTCTCCTCATCTACGTACACATTTGTGGCTTTGTAATGATACCGTTGTGCACAATATAGAAAGTAGGGAAAATTCAGAACCCCAATCCCAGCCAATAGGAAGTAGAAGTAGTCCAATCTCCCCGCATTGATGTCATTGGTCAACCAATCCGGGTGCTTCTCTGTCCCACTAACATGGTGCACCACATTGACCACCAAACTGCTCAAGTAGCTCGAACCAGCAAAGGAGCAAGACACGAGGGCATTTCCAATACTGCGCATGTGGTCGGGGAACTCCCGGTTGAAAAACTCCAGCAGACCTATCATATTGAACGCCTCACAGAGCCCCATCAGTATAAGTTGTGGGGCCAGCCAGAGGAATGACACGTGTGCGGCAGGGTGCAAATTGGCAAAGTTCCTTCTCTCCTTTTCAATTACTCCGGCCACTGTCATCGACAGGACGGAGAATATGATCCCGATTCCACATCTTTGCAGGACTGTAACCCCACCTTCGCGCTTTGTGATTTTTCTGAGGGATGGGACTAGAATCCGGTCGTAGATTGGAAGCCAGAGGCCAATGGTGAGAAAGGAGATGACGCTGATGGACCCAGCTGGGACTTCGAAGTTAGCGCCGAGATGACGGTCCATTTTTAGGGCTTGGGACACAGTAAAGGTACCCTGCTGTGTCATGGCGGTCAGGCTAACTATGGCCGATGCCCATATCGGGATTGTTTTTAATACGCATTTAAGTTCTTCCACTTGTTGCACGCTGCACAGCCTCCAGTTATCGACCGGAGAACCATCAGGCTTCAAATCGTTATCCAATATTACAGCAGCCTTGTTCAAGAACCTAATGAAAATAAAATGATGAACAAAAATAGTTAATTAACACGATCAACAAGTCAAAAAATCAGGGAAACAAAGTTCACAGTACACAGCCACTAAATTTGTTCACCAAACAATGTACGATGGATGTGTTTGTTCAAATGAGAGATTTTATAGTATGCTTCAAACACGGGCTGAACATGCATGTCATTACACAATTGGAGAAAAAAAAATTTTCAATTTTTTTTTCGAAGTACCTCCAATTGTATAATAACAGATGGTGTTTCATCACTTATTCTGAGCACATTGAAAAATATGTCATTTAACAGTGTCATTGCCCCACCTTACAGATCATGTGTCTTACACTTATGGCACGTTTACGTAACCGTAATGAAAATAGGAAGAATTGAATTGAGGAGAAGTTGAAATGAGGAGAAGTCGGAATTGGATTCTTGTCGAAGCTGTTTACTAATTCAGCAGGAACGGAATATAAGCCAGTATGATTACTAAAATGCCCTTGTCCCAAATCAAATATTTTATATACTTTTTTTAATAAAATTTGATATAATATATAATAGTAAGAAAAAAAATTAAATTGCTTTTTTGTTTCATAGACACTAAAATGCTTTTGTTTTTTGTTTTAGTTATAAATTTAAGTATTTTTTTAATATTTAAATTTTCTCGTTCAAGTTGTAATTTCTTCTCTTCGGCATATGCATGTGGTTGTGCATAATGTGAATGAGCATGAAGTTGTGCATAATATGAACGAGCATGGAAATAAAAAAAGTAAGGAGTTGTGCATAATTAAACTATGATTAATGAGTTTATAAAGGATAGTCTTGGAAATAAAAAAAGTAAGTGAGGGTATAAAGGGAACAAAAGTGTCATTCCGATTGCCAAAGCAATCAGGAATTGGATTACCACCTAGATGTAGGGAATCCAATTCCACCAATACAAGGATTCCAAAATTTGTGTGGACCCCACTATTTTTTTTTATTCCTCAATGTTTAGTAAACACTGAAGTACTCTATAATCGGAATTCAATTCTACATTTTCATTCCGATTATAGATACATAAATGATAGAATTTTTACCATTCGCAAAAGTAGAGATAAAAACACTTAACAAATATTTGCAAGAAAACAATGTAATTGTAGTATAAACGGCTCAAACAAGATTGTTTCTATAGGAATTATTTAAAACAATTTATACAAAACCAAAATATTATTTAATTATTTGAAAACAAAGATTAAAAAAAGTTGATTTTAAATTGAAAAATAATAAAAACGAATTTAATTAAAATGATTAAAGAAATAAGCAAAGTAAAAAAAAACAAAGAAAACGTTTTGAAAAATCTCCGGCAGCGGCGCCAGTAAACACGCCCTTAGTCTAATGTGAGGGTGGAAGTCTGGACCCCCACCTGACATAATGTGAGCTTAGTCAAATGTATGATGGTGGAAGTCTTGACCCCACATTACAAGCTGTGGGTCTTACGTAGTTAAATGTGACGTGTGGTTAATGGTAAACTTAGGGTAAATTATACTTTATCATCTTAGGTTTAGGATCTATTGTAACTTCATATAATATTATCAAAACATTTCACTTTCATACCTTACGTACTACTTTATTTAAATATAATACATCCGTTATATTTTTCATCTATTGGTACATTAAGAGTTGACGTGACTGCCAAATTTATACCACGTGACAAAAAAATAATTTTTATTCATTTAAATTATTATAATAATTTAGCCTATTATAAAAAAGATATTTAAAAAAAAAACCTCATCTTCTTCCCGAGCCCTTCCCCTTCCCTGTAACCCAAACACCTTATCCCACCCCACCCCGGCCCTCACCTCCCCCGCAACCCCCAAACAACCCTCCCTTCCTTCTCTCTCCACGGTTGACGCCCCCGCAACCCATCTTCCTTCCCCGACCCATTCCCCTTCCCTGCAACCCAAACCCCCCACCTACCCCACCCCTACCTCCCTCGTAACCCCCAAAAAAACCCAGATGTTCACCTCCCCTCCCATCCAAAAAACCCACCACAAACTTCTTCGACGCAGCCTCCACCATCTTCTCCCTCAGCAGAGCTCCGCGGTCCCTTTGACCAAATCGAGATTTGGGTCGACCTCATCAGCGCCGTCGATCTTCGGGTGAGCACCGAAAGGGGAATACCCAACTGGCGAGCTTGGTCCTCCATGCACTTGGAAGTCGGGACTCCAATAATGTCCTTCGATTCGTCGGATTTGAGGAGCTTTACGAGCTTGGAGATCACGAAGGCGGCAGTGGAGCCGGTGCGTAGGATAAGGTGGGTGGCGGTGGAGGCATTGTGAGGGGAGATGAGGGATAGGGAGGAGGAAGCCATTGGAGATGTGGAGGGAGAAGTGGGTCTGGGAAAAAGAGGGCGGGGTTTGCAGAGAGGTGAAGGGCAAGGAAGGGGATCTGGGTGTGGGTTTGGGTTTGGGTTTTTTTTTTTTTTTTTTTTTTTTTAAATAGGATAAATTATTATAATATTTTAAATGAATAAAAACAAAATTGACACGTGTCACAAATTTGGCAACCACGTCAGCTCTTAATGGATCAATGGATAGAAAATATAACGGATGTATTATATTGAAATAAAATAGTACTTGAGGTATGAAAGTGAAATGTTTTGAAGATGTTGTATGATATTGTAATAGACCTCAAATATGAGGTCGACAGTGTAATTTACCCATAAACTTATCTTATGAATACATATGTAGTCTGAGTCTTAATTTGATCTGATGATGGTTATTGATTAGCTTACGATTTTTCGGCAATTCAATCACGCCAAGTCACTCAGTGGCGATCAAACTAAAAGTCAAATCTAAAATCTTCCATCAACAAATAGAGGAGAATACATTACTGTAACACAAAGAGTTCAGTCAACACTAATTAAGTACTAAATTCAAACATGTCCTCAAGATAATATATAAAAATCGATCGATTAAGCCAACTCTACACATATTAATACTTCAAATCAATCATAATAAATTATTAAAGAAATGATCGATCTATACAAAAATTTCTTACCTGAGCTGGTTGGTGAGTGGGAGCGTAGATGCGTAATACCCCTTGAATATTGGAGGATGATAGAATTTGTCAACATCTATAATTTCTGCTTCTTCCGCAAGCTCAATGTGGCGTTTCTTATGAGCAGCAACAAGTACTTGTGCAATCCCAGAGAACATACTGCCCTGTGGCTTTGCATGCACGTAAACCCTAGACCCGATAAACAGAAGCAGGATCGAGCAAGCCATGAGCACAGTTGGGATCCCAAACCCTAAACTCCAGCTGACTTTGTCTTGGATGTAAACCACTACGGTTTGGGAGAGGAGTAAGACCACTGTGAACGTGGCATAGTACCAGTTGAAAAAGCTATTCACTCCTTTCTTTCCTTCTTCTGTGGTTGGGTCAAACTGGTCAACGCCAAATGGGATGCTGCATGGCCTGATGCCAGCTGTGCCTATGGATAGAAACCCTAGACCCGATAGCAGCAGACCGAGTTGAGCTCGGGTTGGACCGGTGCACTGACTCAGTGCTTGCTGTTGAAGGCTGCATGGCGGAGGATGCAGCTGCGGAAGCCACGCTGTTAAAGTAACTGTCGCCATGCCCTGTTGATAGATAAATAATGTTACACAACAAATAAATAACGTTAAAAGTAACTGTCGCCATTCCCTGTTGAACTTTTATTTACTTCAAAATTTGTTGCAAACCTTATCTTATAATTAAGAAAAATTTCCACTAAAACAACCTAATCCACACCTCAGAACACACTTAGTGAAAGTAATATCCACTAAAACTGATGAAAGTGACAGTCACATGTAAAACAGCAGTGTTGATCTCCTATGATCCTCAATTTCTACGCTAAAGCCACATGAAATACAAATTTGTTGGTATACGTTATTTTCCGTTTTGGCCGCACGAAGGGATATTTGACAATTTTATACCTCAGTTGCTTACTCATGCTTTAGTACGATCGGGTTTTTATTTAGTACTCTAAACTTTTGCCCACCAATATTGGTTTATACTTCAAATTTCTTGAATATTGATACTCGATTTAAATTTCTTAAATGAGGATTTAGATTTAACAATATTATCACGTAATATTATTAATTTATCTATAAATTATATATGAATTAGCTACATTCGGTTGTATTAGTGTTCTCACAAATCCTTTTAATTAGCTTGGTTGAGGTTGTTCAAAGAGGGATCAAGAAACGTCACATCCCCTCCTTTTAATCAATTGATGTATCTTGACCATTGTTCTAAAAATTTCTGCCTAGTGCCACCTAGGCCTCGCCGCACTAGGCGGCTAGCTACCATCCCGATTAATGCCTAGACATTTGAAATTAAGAAATGGCGCTTAGACCTGTTGAGGCACCTGCTTAGACCGCCCAGACCTGCCAAGGTTGCGACTCACTTAAACAGAAAAATAGACAACTTTCATTTTGCATTTTATTTTATTTTTCAATAAATTGTAAGAGACTTGTTGAATACTTAAATGAGTCCACATTATATACTTGTTCCCCATGTTTTCATTATGTTAAAAAAATTCTTAATATATGTGTTATTCTATTTTGTAGTTTATGATGAAATTATATATATTTTAAGTATAAACAGACACTTATTTACATGAAATATAATAGATTTAGTTAAATCTGCATAGTCCACCTACCTTTTCGTATTTTAAAAATGTTGTTCGCTAGCTTAGTTTTCCAAATCCGTCACCATATTGACTGGTAACTCTAGTTTCAATTGTTAGTTTTCCGAAATATAATGGATTTAGAAAGGGTGGTAGGTTTCGCTAGCTTAGTTTTCCAAATCCATATCACCATCCTCTCCCACCCACTAAAATTTAAAAAGGAAAATTATTGAAAAAGACTTGAAAACTTTAAGTTTTAAAGATAAAGATAAAATAAAATATAAAATGAATAATACCATAATTGATTTTTTAGTGTAAAAATGTGGTTTTTCGTTAAAGTTTCCAATTTAAAACCCCACAACAATAGAGTACAGTCAAGAACATGACAAACGATAGAAATATATACGTTACCTAGCCACGAAGCCAAAGACAAATTGTTGGTTATTATTGAATGTAGAAGGGATGGAAGGGATAATTATAGAACACTTTTCTTTTCACCATATACAAACCTATCAGTAATATTGGAGGTAGGGGACAACCACTCAAAAACACAGGTTTATGAAACTCGTGTGAAAATATGTACACGATTGGGGAGTGACTAGTCCATCGGTAAACTTAATATAAACAATCTACGTATTTGATACATAATTTTATCTAGTCCGTAATAAACTAAAAAATATATACATTATTAATCGCATAAGTGGAAACTCATGTTGGCACTCCAAAATTTTTATTGTGCATTCCTGACAAACGTAAATTTCTTTCTAAGAGTAATGCTAGTCAGACTAAATTTGTAAACTAAATTATGTATCACTAATAATAAATAAACATGTTAATCAACATTTAAGTAATCACAAATTATCAACTTCCATGTTGTTTAGTTTACAAAATTTGATCTACATTTAGTCTCCCTAGCATTTCCCTTCTTTCTAGATATAAAAAGTTTGGTGTGCATAAAGAAAATTTTAGAGTGAAAACAACAATTCTCTTAGTCAATATAATGTTTAATAATAACCAAATATTAACATATTAAGTACAAGGAACATGTTAGAGAGACCATGTTTTTAGACTATAATTTAACCCCACACGATGCAGTGGTCAATGATTGAATTCTTTAATTCATAATTTAAAACGAAATTTAATTATCAATTGGCACATCATGTAATTACAAAATATGATTCAAACAGATGATTTCCCTAACATCTACAAACCGTTGTCAAACATATTGAAATTACCTTAAAACAATTAACACATTGGCCAAATAAATTAGAAAATAACAAAAAATAATAATTGGGAGAGAGCTAGAGAGAGAGAGGTACCATGAGAGAGGAAATGGACGCAAAAACAATAGTCCGAAAGCGGCCGACGTAGGCGTCGGAGATGAAGGCGCCAAGGAGAGGAGCGAAGTTGGTCAAACCAGACCAGACGTTGATAATGTTGGAAGCGGAAACCTGGTCCAGGTGTAGCATCCTCGTCAAGTACACCATAAAGTTTGCCAACAAACCAATAGCAGCCAACCTTTCGAACGTATCATTTCCTGCACCACCACCACCACCATTAAAAACGTGTTCTGTTTTTGTCGCCTTTTAATAAAAGGAAAACTAATGAAAAAGGCTTGAAAACTTTGAGTTTTAATGATAAGGACAAAATAAAGGATAAAGTGAATAGTACCAGAATTGACTTTTTAGTGTAAAAATGTGGTTTTTCGTTAAAATGAACAGTGCCGGGTGCTTTTCGTTAAAATTCCCTTTAATAAATTAGACACTTTGACCTCATATCAGGGATAAAGATGGATTAATATTCAATGCACCTATATGTGATTACAGTGACACATCATAGAGTGAGAGTAACTGAGATCTGACACTGCCACCGTAGCTACGTTCTGTGCTCGATCATGTCGACCAAAAAACTTACATATTTTAAGGAAAAAATCCGCAATACTGTTTATTTTAACGAAAAATCACATTTTTACATTAAAAAGTTAAATTTGATATTATTCACTTTATTTTTTATTTTGTCTTTATCGATAAAATTCAAAAATTTCAAATTATTTTAATTAATTTTCCTTATTTTTTTATCGTTGACCGGGGATACAGCCATTTCGGTGCAGTATCCGAGAGAGAGAGAGAGAGAGAGAGAGAGAGACCTAAGATGAAAGGCATGGCCTTCCAACCACCAGGTTTCTTTGCGACATCACGTTTTCTATCAACTGGTTCTTTATCTGGGCTTAAAGGAAATTTGTGTGACAGCTCTGAGGAAGTGCTTTTCTGAAAGAACTTTGTGACGTAGAGGCAGTGGCTTGATTGCTGCTGCTTCTGCTTCTTGCCTTCAGCCATCATCAGCTTTTCAACATGCCAGAAAAAAAGTGGGCACTAGCTAGCTAAGCTTTGAGGAAGTGATTTTCCAAAAGCGCTGTAAGAAGTTGTGAGGTTAAGCTAACAAGCTTGGCTGGGGCAGACGTGTATATATAGGGAAGATGGGAAAAGAAGAAGATAAAAAGGGTGACGCAAATGAATGTAGGTATGGATGTGATGGAGCCGTGGCACTATTGGCAGGGGGCACACCAAAATTGTGCGCACCCTGCAGTAATTCCGGCCAACATTTCTGTAAAGTGAAAAAAGAAAGGCCCATTACAAACAAATTGAGGCCCAATTTATGTGATGAACCATCTTGACTCACGATTTTCATGACTGAATTGAGGACAAAGCATTTGAGTTGCTGACATACTAGTTAGTTAATGATATTCGTCCCCATTGAGAAACGTGAAACTTTTACATTAGTTAAGAAACGTTAAAAATAGAACTCTTTCAAAATGAAATTTTTCATAAATTTTTTATCACTTTATATTTTTGACATATTATTTTAAAAATTTAGCATGTATATTGACGTCAAACTATAAGATGACTGAGAGTCCAAGAAAGATATGTCCCCTTAGCATTTCTCAACTTAGTAACTCAGTTTCATTCGCTATAATACTTTAACTAAACACATAGATGCGCACTTAAACACAAAAGGAGGTTAGACTGGGTTTTAATTTAACAAGAAATAAGACGGATACAAAAATAGTGTTTAACAATCAAGTGAGGGACAACTAGAATTATGAATCATCAATGACAATCCTATTTTATTTTTCTAAATCAATTGCTAGCCGATGTTAAAATCTAAGGTATGAATTTATCAGTGGCCAAGCGTTAAATTTATCTCTATGTGATAATAATAATTATTAGACATACGTGCATATACAATTAAATATAGTTGATTTATGGATTTAATTATACAACTAAACACATGGGTTTAGAAATCCATTAGGTTTAGTGGTTTACAAGAAAAATGGTTAAACCAAAGGATGCCCCAAGCTCTCATCTAAACTCTCTACTGTTTCTGCACTAGCCTTGTATGCATATCCCCGAGCACAAAACAGAAAATAGAAGAAATTCACCACTCCCAGACCAGCAATCAGGAAGTAAAAATAGTCCAATCTGCCGGCATTGATATCATTGTCCAACCAGTTGGGCCGGCCATGCTTTCCTGTAACACCATGCACAATGCTCACCGTCACACTACTCAAACAACTAGCCCCGGCCAAGCAAAGATAGAGCAGAGAATTCCCAATACTTTTCATGGTCTCAGGAAATTCTTTGTTGTAAAACTCAAGGAGTCCAACAACGCCAAACATCTCACAAAGTCCAAGCAACATTTCCTGTGGAAATAGCCAAAAAACTGACATGGCTACAACCCCGTTCGATGAAGCTTGTGATGTGGCCAAAGCTCTCCTTTGTTGCTCAACTAGTCCCGCCACCACCATGCACATAGCAGAGAAGAAATACCCGATTCCTATTCTTCGAAGAGGTGGGATCCCATCTTCACATTTAGTGAACTTTGTTAGGGCTCGTTGTAAGACACGGTCATACAACGTGAGGGAAATAAAGAGCGTCATAATTGACATCATTTTGACCGATCCAGCAGGGATTGCGAAATTCGGTCCAATGTGACGATCCATTTTCATGGCTTGTGATACTACAAATGTTGGTTCTTGGGCAAGGGCCAGCAAGCTGATGACACCAGAAACAGAAACTGGGAGGATTTTCATAACACGTATTACCTCTTCAACTTGTTGAATGCTACATAGCCTCGATGGAGTTGCACAAGACCCATCATCTTTTAGTTCATTGTCCACTACTAAAGCAGCTTTCTTCAAGAAGCTGGAAGCCAACAATTTAGAAGTGAAAATTAGTCATATAAATAACCCAGGAATGTAATTAAGTTAGGTAAGGCAAATAGTGATGACGGTCCGCATCATTTGATGATGCACTGGAGAAAATGTGGACAGTACACTTCAGAGTCTAGAGAATTATTCGAGATATTTACCTAAATTCTGTTGAGAGATGAAGCTTGTTGATTACTCTACGTCCATTTCCATTTGATGAATCATCATCGGAGAAAACACCATGAACCCTATCATCATTGTGAAGCTTAAGATGACGCTTCTTGTATGCCGCTACAAGAACTTGTGCAAAACTGGAAAATGTGCTTCCTTCCGGCTTCACATAGAAGTAAATTTTGGACCCCCCAAAAAAGAGGAGAATTGCACATGACATGAGCAGGGTAGGAATTGCAAATCCTAATGCCCAACTCACAGAGTCTTGAATGTACATCACTAGGGATTGGTTGATCAAAATTACCATACAAGATATAGCGTAATACAAATTCAAAAATCTAGTGACTGATTTTCTTCCTTCGACGGTGGCGGAATCAAATTGATCAACCCCAAAGGGAATGCTGCAGGGCCTAATTCCTCCAGTTCCTAAACCCAGCCCGCATAACCCAACAATCAAAAGACCCAGCTGGGTTTTTGTGCTGGAGACACATTGCTGTTGTTGTCCATTAAGAGTGCAAGGTGGAGGCCTCAGTTGTGGCACAAAGGCTGTCAGGGTTACTGTTAGCATCCCCTAATCATGAGATTAATTGGATATTCATTAAGCTGTTAACAAATCAAAGAAAGAGAAAAGAAGAAAAAAGTAATTGCAAATTTGATTTTTATTTCGTTGGCACCAAAAGAAATAAGAAGACTACATATTGCAAAGACAGAAACATATATATCTAAAAGTTTTAGATGTTGCCATGACCTCCTTGTTTTTTATTTATTTATTTTTATTTTTTGACAAAAGATAGCATTAGTGCGTTAAATTGTTAAATGTTAGGATGAGAGAATCGGTCAGGATCAAAGCCACCGTAAATATACCTCATAGTCATGGCAACATTTGTAGATCGTGCTTTAGCACAGTGGCGGAAAAAAATGCACCATGGTAACATACAGATAGAAAACCCTAAGACGTAGGGTACCAAAAATAGCTAATGTAATTGCTAACTTGCTAATTAACTTTAACCTAAACTAATTAATCATGATTAATTAATCTTACATAAATAAACTAAAAAATTATGCTACATAAATTAGCTAATTTTACCAGAAGTGTTGCAAAGGAAGCCAAAGCAATGGTGAGAAATTTGCCAAGGTAGATATCAGCGATGGAGCCACCAATGACTGTCAATAAAAAGCAGGAAGATGCCCAATTGTTAATCATGTTGGCAGCAGGAACCTGCTCCATGTGATACTCCCTCACCAAATACACCATGAAGTTTATTGTCAGCCCATATGATGCCATCTTCTCAATTGATTCATTTCCTGCAAAAAATAAAAAATAAAAAACCTCCCAATTGTAGCTTTTGATTTCTCTGTAAATAACAATGCTCATATATATCTTAATATACTACACCTAAGATGTAAATCACGGCCTTCCATCCGGGCTTTGATTGGACTACTGTGCTCGAATCAGATCGGTGGAGATGGTCACCGTTCGGAGGCAATAATGCCTCTGAGGATGGAGACTGATCATAGTTAGGGTTTGCTAGTTTAAGTTTTCTGATGAAGCAGAAGGAGAAGAAAGAGCTGTTCTTAATTTTATCCCTAGCCATTCTTCTCTTTCTCTCTCAGTCGTGTTAATTAGGACTCTGGTTAAGCACATATACAGGCAAAATAAAGCTCGGGGAACTGATGAAGGGCACGTGCCCCCCATGCATGAAGGCAGCTTCCATATTTTCATACCGACTTGTCAAGCTCTTGAGGCATCTCTGAACAGAAAAGAGGGCAGTTTTCTTTTGGTCATTAATCATGAGGCAAAGACAAACTTGGTGACACATACCTAAGTAAACTTTCCAGTTTCCAATATATATGCTTTAGCCCTCTAGAGGCAAAGATCGTTTTCGCATGTGGTTCAATATTTTAGTAGATAGGTTGTTGAGTTACGTCTTGAATTTGAAACTTCACTCTGCCCAAAATTATCATGATAGTTTCAAATGCTTTCCTTTCTCCCTTCTAATAATAGTAATTTAAAAAAGGGATACTTTGGATGTGGTCCTTAGCTATCAATATTCTTTGATTGAAACCTTGTTAGTTTTTAGTTTTTGATTGAGATCCCTAACATTAATGTAATAATGTAAGTTACTATATTTTTTAAATTAAAAATTAAAAATTAAAAATTGAAAATTGTAATTGTTTATATTAATGAGATTTTAAACAAAACCCATAATTTATGGGATTAAAAATAATAAAATATAAATTATACTCTCTATTATATTGTGTGTGTGTACATATATGTATGGGTACATTAACCAAAATTAACAAAAAAAGTTATTGTACCAAAACATGGATACATTCTCAAATCAATGAAAAAGAATGTACCCATATAAGTTTAAACATGGATTAAAAAATTTGAATGGATTTTATATTAAAAAGGGTACATTTTACATATAACAAATTGATATATATGAGAATGGGTACATTGATGATTAAAAAAATTGAAAAATTATATGAATGGGTACATTTAAGATTAAAAAATTGAGAATCTTTATATATATATATAACTAATAGGTACAAACTTAATTTAATTTAATTTTTTATTATTTTGAAAATGTTTGAATTGAAAATTAATTAGAAGTTTAATAGAGGTGTGAGTATTAAACCCTAAATTAATTATTAATTTTTATATTAAAAAATTATATAATAAACATGTAAATTCATTATCACATTAATGTTAGGGACTTGAATCAAAATTTGAGAACTAATAAGGTTTTAGTCAATGAACAGTAAGAACTAGGGACCGGATACTAATTTTTCCTTTAAAAAATTAAAATATCAATACTAAGTATATTTCACACCACTAAAATTAGGGAGAAGTTATAAGGTTTCAATTTTCTTACATTATTTGACGTTTGATCAAATTATAATTTTTGTGAGGAATTGCTGATGTTATAGTGTAAGAATCGATATCAAATCTTCTGCAACCAAAATGGGTGTGGTCTCTTCGTGACTCTAATCATTGTTTGACACACATTAAGTTTATGAAAACAAAGTTAAGAAAAGTTAAGTTTAGAAACACGTATTATTCAATTATAGGGGCTGCAGAGGCCACATCTATTTTAGGTGTAGAAGATTTGATCGTGTAAGAATCACCCCCAAAACTATTTAACCATATCAAGGTCAGTTTTCGAGATAGATCATAGTGATTTTCACAGTCGCTTTTTTTTCATTTTGTATTCATCATTTTATTTATGTCTTGTGATTTTCTTTGATTTATGTAATAATCTAAAGGCTATAAATAATTGACTCTAAGGGGAGAAAATAGGAGTGAAAAATGACTTTTGTTTCGAGATTAAGTGGGAATCGTCGCATTATAAAACGTCGATCGGGTTGCAATGTAAAACAATTGAAATCCCGCAACCCGCCCACTTTGAACTGAAACAAACTTCGATGGTGTGAATCACTGAATGTACTCAGCCAAGAATATATAGTAACTTGTTCTAAAACCAACAGGTTACAAGGATAAATTCTTAAATCTGAGGGATAAATTGTTTTATTTATGAGAACTCCCACTTGCAAATAAAGATAAATTGTCATTCTTTATAAAATCTCTCATTTACAAATAGAGATAAATACATTGTAATAGACTAATAGTTGTATACTGCTTTCTTAGACAATAGGGTTGGTTTCTAACTTTCTACACTCTCTACTGCTTTTACACTAGCCTTATAAGTATATCCACGAGCACAAGATAGAAAATAGAGAAAATTCACCACCCCCAAACCAGCTATCAGGAAGTAGTAATTGTCCAATCTGCCGACATTGATATCATTGTCCAACCAGTTGGGCTGACCATGCTTTCCTGTAACACTATGCACAATGCTCACCACCACGCTACTCAAATAAGTAGCCCCGGCCAAGCAAAGATATGGCAGAGAATTCCCAATACTTTTCATGCTCTCAGGAAACTCTTTGTTGTAAAACTCAATGTGCCCAACAGTGCCAAACACCTCAAGAAGACCAAGCAATATTTGCTGTGGAAATAGCCAAAACACGGACATGGCTGCGATCCCGTTTGATGAATCTTGTGACGTGGCCAAAGCTCTTCTTCGCTGCTCAATTAGTCCGGCCACCATCATGCATAGAATCGAGAAGAAATACCCGATTCCTATTCTTTGCAGGGCCGGGAGTCCATCTTCGTGCTTAGTGATTTTTCTTATGGCTGGTTGTAGGACACGGTTATACAATGGGAGACTGATAATTACTGTCATCATTGACATCAATTTGATTGACCCAGCAGGCATTTCGAAATTCAGTCCAATGTGCCGGTCCATTCTTAGGGCTTGTGATACTACAATGTTCCTTCTTGCGCATATGCAATCAAGAAAATGGCACCAGAAGCCCATATTGGGAGAGTTTTTACAACACATATTACCTCCTCAACTTGTTGGATGCTACACAGCCTCCATGGATTTGCGCAAGACCCATCATCGCTTACTTCATTGTCCACCACTAAAGCGGCTTTCTTCAAGAATCTGAGCCACCAAAATAGCAATGGATTTAGTATGAGTATGCAAAGCAATTTAGTTAGTTAATTGTACTTGAGTTTGGGGACTTATATATTCTTGCAACAATGTTGCAAGGTAAGCCAAAATTGACGGTTCAAATCAATGGACTAAAACATATATTACGCAACAAAGTTTACAAGCTTTAATTTGTGGACGGATAATTATCCAAGATATTTACCTAAATTCTGTTGAGAGGAGGAGCTTGGACTGTACTACATTTCCTTTTCCGTCTACCTTTGGTGAAGCGTCGAAGAAAACTCCGCGTACCCTTTCGTCATTGTGAAGCTTGAGACACCGCTTCTTGTACGCCGCAACGAGAACATGTGCAAAGCTGGAAAATGTGCTTCCTTCCGGCTTCACGTAGAAGTAAATTTTAGACCCCGCTAAAAACAAGGGAATCGCACATAACATGAGCAGGGTAGGGATCCCAAACCCTAGTGACCAACTCACAGAGTCTTGAATGTACACAACTAGGGTTTGATTGATCATAAGTACCAAACTAGATAAAGTGTAGTACCAATTCAAATAGCTACCCACTGATTTTCTTCCTTCCACAGTGGTCGAGTCGAATTGATCGATCCCAAATGGAATGCTGCAGGGCCTAATTCCTCCAGTTCCTATACCCAGCCAGCATAACCCAGCAAGCAAGAAACCCAGCTGGGTTATTGTAGCGCTGGAGGCACATTGCAGACTATCATCAAGGATGCAAGGTGGAGGCCTCAGTTGTGGCACTAAGGCTGTCAGGGTTATTGTTACCATTCCCTAATCAACGATTAATGGGTAATTAATTAAGCTGATTATAACTATGATTAAAATAAATAAATGGTGATTAATTGAGAAGATTAAGAAAATTTAGTGTACCGTAAGAGTTGCTAAGGAAGCGAAAGCAATTGTGAGAAATTTGCCTAGATAAATATCAGCAATGGAGGCACCAACAATTGATAATAAACAATAGGAACATATCCAAATGTTAATTATGTTGGCAGCAGTAACCTGCTCCATGTGATACTCCCTCACCAAATACACCATAAAATTTGCTGTCATTCCAAATGTTGCCATCGTCGAAATTGATTCAGTACCTGCACACACACAAAATAAAAGTCATATATAAAAAAAAAAATTGATAGTTCAATTCATATATTCTTTTTTACTTTTCACACACCTTGTTAATATTTTACAATTGATCTTCTTTAATTTATTTAATTCAACGGTTGAAATACGAAAGAATATGAAAAATAATGTGCATATATTAAAAAAATAGAAAAAAGAACAAGGTTTTTCACATTTATTTTCTCCTCTTGCAATTATTTTTTAGATTTGGATCGGATAATTCAGAAGAATAAAAAAACACACACATATGTAAACACCTAAGATGTAAGGCATAGACTTCCACTCAGGCCTTGTTTGGTCATGGTTTTGTGGCAATAATAATGGCTCGGAGGAAGAAGAGTGGTTATCATAAGAAGAAGGGTTTATTGATGTGGGTTTGGGGGAGAAGAAGGACAAGAAAGAGCTGCTGCAGCTGCTCTTCTTATCCCCCGCCATCTGTTCTCTGGTCTCTCTCTCTTTAGGTCTGATATTAATTTGGAGGAGTGTGATGATGGACGTTATTATATGTGTACAGGGAGATATTCGGTGAAGGAAAAGCCACCTACCTTGGGCATGACGGACACGTGCCCCCCATGCAACAAGGCAGGCATCTTCCGGTTTTGATACTAGGAATCCAAGCCGAACTAGGCAACTCAAGCCATATTAGGCATGTAAAAAGGGTTGGGCCTGATGAGCCAGTTTGAGTTCGATTCTAATTTTTTGGATCATGGTTCGATCTAGCTAATCGTAAGATCAAATTTTATTCGGCTCGTTTTTAAATGAGTAGGTTCTACATTTTATATATAGGCCCTGAATCGGTTATGAGAATTCTTTTGTGTCATTGAAAATATATTGTATATCACGAGTGTACAACATTTATCATGATATTAAACAAGTGTTCTATACTTGGGGTCCGGTAAGATGAAGAATTTCTTGAGAAAGCGAGAAACGTACCTAGG